TGCTTTCATGGATTCTTTCAAGCTCCTTGGGAATTTTGCGTCTAGACTTTTCTTCTGAGTCACTTTGGAGCACCTTGGCTTTGCCCAGAGAATCCAGGATGGGAGAGAATCATGCTTTCTCATTATAGACGATATCTACTATTTATTTATTTATTTTTGCATATTTATATATTTATTTAAGTCCTCAGTGGAGGATATTTTTTTCATTGATGTGCAGAGAAATTAGAGTGGAGGAAGGTAAGAAGGAGGGAGAGGGGGAGAGAGAGAGACAGAAAGAGAAAGAGATGTGAGAGAGTCACATCGATTGGTTGCCCACTGCGTAAGCCTTGACAGGGGCTGAGGATCAAGCCTGAGACCCTTGACTGGGAATCAAACCCACAGGCCTGTAATGCATGGGCCGATGCTCTAACCACTAGACAACCACGGCCAGGGCAGGGCCATGATTAGTTATTCTGATCTCTCTGCTTATTGTGAAGTTCTGTACCATGGAAGCTGACTCATCTGGGTATAAGAGCTTATATTTATGCAACAGTTGAGGATGGTTTCAAATATACATTCATGTATATATGTAGACCTTGAGCAATTCTTGAGCTATGAGTGTGGACAATTTTATAAATAAAATTACAAAATGCATCTGAACTCAAAAATTAACATTTTGAGCCCAGCCAGTATAGCTCAGTGGTTGAGCATCCACCTATGAACTTGGTTAGATTCCTGGTCAGGGCACATGCCTAGGTTGTGGGCTCGATCCCTTGTGTGGGGCATGCAGGAGGCAGCAGATCAATCATTCTCTGTCATATCCCTCTCCCTCTCCCTTCCTCTCTGAACTCAATAAAAACATATTTTAAAAAATTAACTTTTTAAAGCACCTTTTATAAGAAACTTCCTGTTAACAAAAAGTTATTCCTCATAATAAATACATAGATTTAATATAACCCCAATTAAAATAAGAATAAATCCATGTTTTTGAAGTCATAAATGTTTCCAGGTTAAATTGATACATGCAAGTATTACCTATAAGTTCCCAGCAAAAGAGCAATAATAGAGAGGTATGCATAGAAAATGCAGAGAGCAAACATGAATTTCACACAATGTCGGGGTAGGAGCCCCTAGTTCCTCATAAGGCCTCCATGGTCCCGCCTGAGTCTCAGGTGAGCACTGAGGGGCACAGGGCCTTGCAGAGTGGTGCCCACAGGTGGGGACACTTCTCACTACAGCAGGGTGTCCAGTGGGTACGGCACCGTCACCCACAGCAGGTCCCACCTTGGCCAGAGCAGCCACCTGTCCTGCTCTGAGAAGCTCAGGGCCCCCACCTGTGTGGGTGAGGGCTTCCATCCAAGGGGCTCTGGAAATGAGCAGCCGAGGGAGTGTCCGCTGTCCCCTCTCCAACTTTCCTGGCGTCTCCACTCCCATCAGCCCAGCCATCGTCCCTGTGTTACAAGCCAGGCCTGGATACCAAAGGCTGCCAACCTGGCCCGCTCTCCATCTCCTACTCCACACACTCTCTACCTGCTGAGGGACCGGGTGCTGGGCGAACAATGCAGGGCTTCTGGCCTTTAGTGGAAAACCCCACAGATTCTGTGTGGAACCAGGAGGAGCTGAGATGCTAGGTGGGAGTTTCCCAATCTTTGGCGTCTCCATAACATTGTGGCTCCTCTTGCTAAGCTGAGCCCCCAGGCCTGGTGGATAATCAGTGTACCTGCCCCCTGACTCCCTCAGCTTTTCAATCCCTACAAGGTCACAGTGACTGGGAGCAGCAGGACAGGCCCAGAGAGGCTGCCCCTGGAGCAGGTCTAGGACAAACCAGGTGTGAGGTGCCCCAGGAAGTCAGAAATGAAAGCGCCCCTGCAGGTCATGGCAGGCAGCCCCCTTGTTCAGAGGGAAAGGTTCTCAGAGTTCACGTCCCAGGAGAGCTGAGTCCACACACACTCAGCCCCATTTCCCGGGGTCCCGCCTGTGGGATGTCCCCCTGGGAACAGAGATACTCTGGTCTGAGGTGGAGCCACCAGAAGTCAGGGAGTGGGGCCTCTGTGTGGTCACTTCAGTCGAATCTCACTTCCTTTTGGCTTCACGGCAGTAGTGCCGCCTCCCTTCCTGCCTCAGCCTGTCAGACTGCAGGAATGGGCTTTCCCAGGGGAGGGAAGTCCCTGCCTGTGTCTACCCTTTACAGATGACCCTCCTCTGTGAAACCACCCAGTGCTCCACCTACTTCCATCACATCTCAGACTTAGCTGGGGACAGAGACAGAGATGACCTTGGAGCTCAGAGAGGACAGGACAGAGCTGCTCCCCTGAGACCAGGAGCTCGGGGGCCAGACACAGGACCAAATGCATGACCTCAGGGAGCACTGAGACCCCTCTGCCAGGGGATCCCCCCTTCACAATGAGCCAAGGTCAAAGGGGTGAGGGGTAGGACTGCCTTCTCATGACACTCCCCCAGCCTGTGCCCCAATCTCTACCTCTGCCATGACCACCCCACCAGTCACCTGCCTCGCTTCTCCTCTAAGGCCAGACTCAATGGGAGGAGGAGGGGTGAATCCTTAGAGACGCTGGAGCCCGGTTTTTCACAGAAATATTTCTGAGACTGCCCACCCTGCTAGGCCACAAGGCTGGGGCTGGCCCTGCCCTCCCCACCTTACTCACACCCCTCCTACACCTGCCCTGTGACTGCTAAGGCCCTCCCAGTGCCCACCTGGCACCTTCTGGACCTAGGTGGGGGATAGGACTGTTCATACTTCTTCTGGGGACAGGACCCTGAGCTGACAGCTCAGCAGACAGGGTCAGGGGCCCTCACCTGAGACCAGGAGCTCCAGAGGTTCACTGGGGAGTGACAGCAGGTAGGGGGAGGAGCTGTGTGAGCTGTAGCACCTGTAGGTGCCCCCATGAGCTGAGGTCACAGGACTCATGGAGAACTCTGTCTGGTACTGCCGACCTCGATGCTTTGATGTAAGACGCTTGGGGGGACCAGCTGCCCCCTCCTTGGACAGAAGGAACGTGTCCCTCGGGCTCTGTGACTGACACAGCAGGGTCACGTTCTCTCCTGAGGCCACCCTGGGGCCTGGCTGCACCGAGAGGGAGGGTCTGTCACGCAGCCATCCTAGAGAGAGGGAGGGAGGGTGAGGGCTGCCTGCCACCTTGTTGTGAGAGTCACCAGGCCTCTCTCTGAGGACCCTCCTCTCTGTCTCTGTTTCTCTGAGTCTCCCCCACAGTGTCCAGGGGGAAGTGGGCCTGAGAGAGCCCAGCCTGGGGCTGCAGGACAAGGCTCTGGGGGAGGACCTGTCCCCGCTCCTTGTGCAGAGCGAATCTGTCATAGCCGACATCAGAGCGACACTGGATGGTCAGGCTCTGTCCAGCGGCCACAATGGGGCCCTGCTGGCTCAGGAGGGAGGGCTTCCCAGACTCACATGGAGAGACCAGACGTGAGTTACAGGAGCTGCTTCTCCCATAAACTCCCTTCTCCTGGCCTGGCTCCCAGGTCTCACTGTCTCCCTCTGTGTCTCTGGCCCAAAAACCCCTGTGCTTTCCTCACCCCATTCTCTCCCATAGGATTCCCCTCAATGAAAAAAAAGCCAATAATATGTCTGGTGCCTCAATCCTTTGATGAGACAATAACGGGACTCACCTGGGACCAGGAGCTCCAGGGGGTCACTGGGGTGTGAGCACACATGGGGGCTGTTCCTGGAACAGCCATAGCATCTGAATATCCACCTGTGGCTGGGGGTCACGGGGCCCACAGGAAACAGGGCCTGGGACTGCCCATTGGGGTAAAAGTGTAAGTCCACGGTCCAGGAGAGCCTGTGATCTCCTTCCTTAGTCAGAAGGAACCTGGCAAATCCCTGCCCTGAGCCACACTGGAGGGTCACGTTCCCTCCTGAGGGCACGACAGGGCTGGGCAGGGCTGAGAGGCTGGGTTTGCTGTAGGATCCTAGGAGAAGAGGAGGCAGTGTGTTAAAATGGGGCTCACACCTCCCTCATGTCCCCCAGGGCTGGGCTGTGAGAGGGAGACACCTTGAGAGCAGACCCCCTTCCTGAGGGCAGGCCCTGAGGCTGGGACCCCTGAGTGTCCTCTCACCTGTCACCACCAGCTCCAGGGGGTCACTGCGCTCTGACCAGCCAGTGGGGCTGCGATAGTAACAATGATATTTCCTTGCATCATACTCTGTCATGTGTGTGATGGAAAAATTGGCCTTTTCCCTGGGATCCTGTGGCTTCTGTATATTCCATGGTTCTGGGCTTCCCTCTTTCTCCAGAAGGTACTCCTTAGCCCCTGGGGTCCCCTCACACCAGATGGTCACAGGGTTTCCCCGGGGGATCACAGGGCCTGGGTCAGCCCAGAGGGTGGGCTTGGGGAGGGGCCCTAGAAGGAATCAGAGGCTGGGTCACAGGACATTCCCACCCCTGGTCCCACATCTCGGTCCCAGCTGCCCCACATCTCTCAGGCAGATCTGCACCCCTCCCCCAGCTGCATGTGGTGTGGTCCCTCATCCACAGTTAGGAGAGGGACCTGGGACACCTGGGGAGACTCACCTGCCTGCACTGGGATCCTGAGGCCCACACTCAGCCCTGGAAGAGAGTCCCTGTGAGAGATTTTCCCTGAACCTTGAGCAGAATCCTCCTCCAAATGAGACTGCTGAGTCCTGGGATCCTGACAGACCAGGGCTTGGCTGTTGGGCAAGGTCCCTTCCAGACCACGGGTCCCCTCCATCCTCCCCTTCCTCCCATCTCACCGAGGCAGAGCAGGGCCCTGAGCTTGGGGGTCATGGCGTCTCCTCTCTTTGCACCCTGCGTGCAGATGCAGGAGGCCACAGTGTTGTCTGAACAGACAGACACACAGGGTGTGGCCCCTGGGAGGCTGGCCGTCGCTGTCACAGGACTCTTATGTCAGCAGCCCCACAGAAAGGGGAACATTCCCTTCCCAGAGGCTTGCATCTGGTTTCCATGGTGAAGCAAGAAATAGACCCGGAGCCTCCTGAGCGGCCCCTTGCAGGTGAGGTGACCCAGGGCATGTCCTTCCCTGTCAGAGCCTCCCCTTCAGGGTCTCCTTCCTCCTCAGCCCATCCATCAGCACCTCCCTGTGGTCCTCACCATGGACAGTGTCACCCGGGCCTGGGCCCTCCT